TGTACATCGACAACGGCGCCGATGACGACGAGGACGAGATCTACGAAGAGGATGCGGAGCGACAGATGCCGGGTAGAAGCAAGGGTCAGAAAGGTAAACGCTCGGCTCTAAAGACACCGCAGAGAGCATCACAGCGCGCTAAAGAAATCAACACTAATAGCAGCAACGCTATCAGCAACACCCCCTATATCGATCCCTTCAACGCTACCCTCAGCGGCACCGCCGATACCGCCTCCTACGCAACCGGATTCACTCCCGGCAGCACTGCTCGCATCACTGCTAGCAACGGAGCCCACCCAACCTCGGACCGGAGCGCGCTCCCGACCCACGAAAGCGGAACGCATCCAGGCTATGGCAGCGGAGCGCAACCAAGCTATGACATCGCAGTACACCCAGGGTACGTCAGCAGCGCTCAGTCAAGCTATGGAAGCGAAGGCCCGCCAAATTCTAGAAGAGGAGAACAGCCGGGCGCATCAGCTGGTTACCCGTACCAGCAAACCGATCATCAAGTATCGTCCGAGCGTGCATCAGGCGCAAGTAGCGGCCTCGACGCCGGTTGGTCAACCACCGCCGCAAACTCGGGCACCACCACCCCAAAGTATCCCCCCTGGGCATAGTACCCCTTCTCTCGCCACGAATCCTAACCTCGTAGTTTCGATCGCTCGTCGAGAACAGCTCTCACTTCCCGTTGCACATCCTTCATTCACCAACGCTCGTCATCCCGTACCACCCCCGAATGTATTGAGATCGACTCCTATCGCTACCCCTCCGCTACCCAGAGAGCAACCGAATGGGTCTTCTAAGGGTCTGCCTATTTTGCCGACGGGCTCAGGAGGAATGTGTCTCGTCTGCAAAGCTAAACACCCTCCTAACAAGTCTTGCGTTAATTTGAACTCTGAGATATCACTACGAATCGCCCTCGATTCTCTCCGTGCCCGCGGCGATGCGCCTAACGTTCGAGCATGCAAAGATATACTGGCTAGACAACTACGACAATTAGTAGGGCGATGAGGAAGAGATTCTCGGAGCATATACCCAAAGAGCAGAAAACAGACTTGATGCATTGGTTGCCGATCCATCATCTCTAGATAGAGAGGAATCGGTTTGCCACTTGTGTAGAGTAGAGGAGGAAATCATCATGCTAGCCCCGACCTCGCCGCATGGAACTAGGTACCTAGAGGCAAGCAGGCAGGCAGGCGCCAGGCAAATGAATCGTATTGCATCACATACGAAATGAATAAATAAATAAAAAGAATTATTTAAGTATACCTCAATGTTCGTAGTTTGTGACCGAAACATTTCCAAGTACTTAGGTGTCATTCAGGGGCACACAGGCCGTTTGTCACGTGGGAAACACAAGACAAGGCCTGCAAGTAACCGTCAGATGCATCCAACCTTATTTGAGGTTTCTCAGCAAACGGCGACGATGGTAATTAATATGTGTGTATGTGTGGAGATGGGTGTGTGTATCATTATATGTGTTACTTAGGTACGTGTGTGCTGCCCGTACCTCAGCTTGCTTGACCGAAATGCCTTAGCCCTCCTTAAAGGTCATCCTACTCCTCCTATCGAAATTCGTCCTATGTTTTTCTCTTTTACTCTTTACTCCGTAATCTTCGATATTATTTTACTAAAGCCGCTTTGAAATTCCATTTCGTAGAGGACTTTGTTGCCCTGTTAACAGATCCCAGCCCAAGCGGCTGTATAGATGCCGGTAGAGCGCGTGCCCATTCATGCCCGTTTGCTCTCCGATTTCTTTCATATTCTACTGCTCGGTCCAAGCAGCGGCCATTGATTTCCTCGTTCAATATGGACACCTCACCTCTCCCCACCGTCTCCGGCCCAACTATCAACTCCCCTTCCGATTTGTCTTACTCATCCGGCGTTTCTCCCACGTCCACTCGAGACACCTCCCCTGACCCTATTACTGCCACTTTCTCTTCTCGACCGCCTTCCCCCCTCATAGAGCTTAATCTGAACTTCGATATAGACACTGCTCCCAATACCTTGGTCGACAGTCAGCCGAAGATGGATCGAAACCCCTTCCAATCTGTTAATGATCGCAGAAACAAAATTTCGACAGATCGCAACCCTGGCAACCAAGCCCAACAATCACAGCAACAGTACCCTCAACTTCAAACACTGAGAGACGGTATGCAACAGCTGGGCCTTCCTCCTCGCAGCCTTGCCTCCAGTAACTGGCGAGTGCAGCCAACAGAGGAGGTGAGGTCAGCCCGTCGCGGTAACGAGTACACCCCGTTCGACTCTCCTATTGGCCACCCCACGCAGCATGGTTCTAGCAACCGACAATCAACTTACACAAGCCCCCATATGGAGCCGTTTCAACAGCAGCACCCAGGCATCGCGCCCTATCCGACTCCTGGCGCCTTCTCCGACTTGCAACTAGACACCAGCTATGGCTACTGCTACGATCGAGGTAACGGTCAGTACACGCGCCTGGTTCCTGTCGACATGCTGCCCCCTCTGAAGGACATCCCGGCTCTGCAGCAGGGCTGCTCTGGAATGATAGTGCTGCCACAACCGCGAGCGCTTCCCCCCAATGGACGCTCGAGCAATGCCGATACGGTGCTACTTAGAGTATGCAACTGCTCCGTCTCTTTACTGGTTAACCCTTTTTTTTCGCAGATCTGTACTAACTGATGATGCAGAACTCTCCTACCACCCCGACCTCACCTGCGGACAACATCCAGGTAAGCCCAGGTGTTTACTTGAACTCCCCACCTCAGAGGAGCGCAGATATGGTATAGTTTCCCAGTATTTTCAATTTCCAACCAGTTGCCCTTTACTATTCCCAGATCTTTATACCTAGGTTTCGATGACACGCTGGTGCAAACGCAGCCCCCGTGCTATGAGTTGTCAACCACGGATCCTCCCCAAACACGTCTCACTCCCCAAGCTAACACGCCCGTCACCAGTCCCGAATCGACACGATCGTCGCCTCGACACCCCCGACACCCACGCACCTCCAAAGCCCCATGTCCTCCGGCGTCAGCGGCATGGGTCCGGGATCCGCCACGCCTTCGGTCGCGCCAACCTCGAACCCCGCTGCTCCTCTTCCTGCTTCTTCCGGAAACGCTTCGCACCACCATCATCATCATCACGGACAGCCACCGCCGCAGCGCCGCCCCAAGATCTACTGCGACAAGTGGGTGCACGAAGGCGTGTGCGCCTTCACCCAGCAGGGCTGCAAGTACAAGCACGAGATGCCCTTTGATAAGCTCACGCAGCATCAGCTTGGCTTGTTCCACGGGTATCCGGCCTGGTGGAAGAAGCACCAGGCTGAGCTGTCGCGACAGCGCGACGTTCCCGTTTCCGTTGCTGGATCTGGCCCTGGCGGCGGTGGTGAGGACTCGGGTAGGATGAGCAATGCCGATCGCTTTCTAGGACGCGCTGCGATCGGTTCTGGTTCTAGCACTAGACCTTCTTCGGCCGCTGGAGGAGGCGGTGGTGGTGAAGTTGTGGGAGTTGCGTCAAGCCCGGTTTCTCCTGGCATCCCGAACTGGCGTCGCGGCGGTGAGCCCCATCCGTCGGACCAGAAGTCCTTGGCGACTGGCCGCGGCGTGTCCCGAGGCGTCGGACCTAGCGCCAGAAACTTCATGGGTATGTCTCTTCTGTTTCTTACTGCTAACTTCCTCTACCTCTACACTTTTGCTCAGATCTAACATCCCCTCTTCTATAGTAGCCTATGGATCGCCCTTCGGGCCCATTGCCCCCCCGACTCGCGCCCCTACTACGACTCCGGTGGGACATGTGGCGGACCCTGGTATTTCGGGCCTGCCCCAGCCTCAGCAGACTGGCGCTTCGTCGAAAGGCGGCGGTGGTGGTAACATTCCGACCGGCAACCCGTATGCTTCCCTCGAATCCTTGGAAGAAGATGAGAACAATGGCGGCTACCGAGATAATGGTGAGGAGGAGTCCGAGGTTTCGCCCACAAACTCCAGCGGAGCTCGTCTGGCTTAAAGCCCGGATATAAAAGGTTGATGGGACAGGGTAGGAAGATCAAGCTCAGGAAAGCCTCTACCAACCCCATACCTATACATATGATCTCTTCCCTTATTCCCCTCCGCCTATCATATGCTAGAGTACACCAGCTCGCTGCTACCCTCTACGCACATGCGTTCTGTTCTCCGTCGTCTTCTTTCCCCCGGCCCCGAAAAGTTCGACTCTGTTTTTTTTTTTTTTTTCATGTATGACGACATGACACGACTTAGAATGATCTTAGGGTGGCAACATCGCAAGAGAGCATTTCTCACGAAACACGGTTCACGACTTCTTCGTTCTGGAATTTTTCTTTTTTCATCGGCGTTGTAATTTTCTTCGGAAGCAAAATAAGGAAAAGGGGAAAAGGAAAGATAAAAGGACGGCGAATTGCAGAAAAATGGAAAGAGGAAAGAGGGGAATCGGAAAGGAAAAAGGACTACGGTGCCAATGTATAATAGACTAACGTCTAAAGGCAAGACGTACAACTGTCCGGCCCCTGAGACGAGATGGGCGCCAACAATGATGGATTAGTAAATACTGTGTGGTGTTTTCTACTTGCATTCTATGTGTCTGTCTCTACGTGATTGACGTATCCGGTCTGTTTCACTAAGTAAGGTCCTCTCGGCCAACTCATGAGGCTCCTCAGTGCTGTTGTAAACTTTGCATGATCGAAACCACAATTACACGATCACCCCAACACCTACAAGGTACCCCTTCAGCTACTCTCAACTAGTTGCCAGCGGCCTGTGAGTGACAACTGAGAGAATAGGAAATATTATATAGCCTAGAGTGTATAAATCGCGAATGATATATAATGAGGTCTTCAATTCAAAGTCATTCATAGCCAACGTATCATGATTTCTTCTCAAGAATATAAGAAGTTTGTAGTGGTAGCAGGGAAACATCGTCGAGTGCTTGGCCAATCATTAAGCTTATCTGGATCCACATTTTGCAGTAGGCTATAGGATGTTTTAGTGCATCAAATGTTCAATCACAAAGCCCGACTAGCTCATCGGTAGAGCGCCTCACTAGTATAGTTCATCTGAACTTACGGATATGAGGAGGCAACAGGTTCGATTCCTGTGTTGGGCAAATCATTTCTTTTTGGCTTTTTGCGCTCTACCCTTCCCTTCTACTCTTTTTACGTATAGAACATCTCTCGATTTGCAAATCCTCGTAGCATTCATTCGTTAACAGTTAGTCGATTCAATAGTTACACCTCGCTAGCTTAAAAATAAAAGGGGGCTTCTAGGTATGGTGTGGTGATGAATATCTCCAATTACCACCACATTAGAATCCAACAGCCAATGAATGAATACCTGGTTAGGACAGCCACATAGTATCTTGACCCTCGAGCATAGCAACTTATTCGTCGCGTGAAAACTATTGTGTATATGATGATGTGCGACCTACGACTCCCGTACGCCAACTTTTTTGACGTATGCGGACCATCCTAACGACCTGTGAGATATTGACACAGCATCAGTAGGATCCCCAGGCTGTATTTTCCGTTGGGCGCACGGAAGGCGGCATGCTTAGCTATCACCGGTAACGATACCTCATCGTGCAGTGGTGAGCCCCGTTTCTCTCTGTACGAGATCTAGCAATAGTTAGACTGACACCTCTCATAGACACATACCTAGCCAAGGACCCGTGTAACAAACAAGAATACGCCCGAGAACGGACGTGCAATTGACCTTTACTTCGCGCATGTAGACTACCTATGCTAATGAGGCATCGGCATCCAAAGCCTGTACGCTCGAAGTAGCCGACCGTTGTTTATGGATATCGCCCGCGTGCCAAACGATGCGAAGTTGGAGACATTTTTGCCTCATTTGATATGTATATCCAATCCATATCCTCAAGGATGACCTTTTAGAGCTTCATGGAAATACCATAGGGAACTGACCGTACCTGCTAGCTTAATCATAGGGGAATCCAAAGCTAGAGAGAGGCCCCTGCGGTTTTTGCCGTTTTGGGATCCTGCGAGACCTGTGGTTGGTGGGGTTTGAGAGGACCCCGGTTCAAGTGTGCGACGCGATAATCCTGGGATGCTGATACTGGTCGGCCCCCTATCTTCAACGGTTTACGCAGCTCTATTATCTGCCCGCATACATAGATTTTTGTTTCCGTGACTATATATACATAGGTACTTATGTAGTATCTTTGAATTCTATAACTATAAATGTATCTATCGTATCTGCGTTTCGAGCTCGTTGCTTATCTCCAGATGCTCCAATGCCGGCACTTCTATGAGCACTGGTGGCGGCCTTCACGCAACACTACCACGCCATTCGAGCGGTAATATCTCGAGAACAGACGGTCTAGCTTGGTAGGTTTAAGACTCCCGGAGATTAGAAACATAGCAAAACTCGTCTAACGAAGTAACCGTCTCGCAAACCAATATCACATCCATCAAACCCGAGCTTAATAAGGCATCGAGTATAGGGACACTCACTGTTATGTAACCCTTGGTAATAGTATCTTCGGTCTTTTCAACAGGGCAATTCGAGGCATCAGGAAGGGCAAGAAGTCATATATGATTCCACTACGGGCCTGCTAGGGAACAGGAAGGCTACATGTACTTACCTTGAATGTGGAATCGACTACCATTCTCGACGAAATCCATAACGCTTAAGAGAAGCTTGGGGGCCCGGGCCGTATTTTAAACCAGGGGAGTAATAACATCCGGCTCGTGGCTAGTGGATATTATTTCTAAGTTCCAAGTTTCGGTCATAGCGTGTGGAAGGTTTAAAGACTCGACACTTTATTTAGGATAATGACGAAGTGAACGACGCTTGCGCCAATATTGCAAATGAATCTTTCGTGATACAGGGAGACCCTTGGGCGCGGAACCGGACTTAAAGTTGTCATTTGATGTGATGGAGAAGAGCTTCTCACCATCCTTGAGAAGCCCGACTCCGCTGAATCGCACCGACGAAGTCCATCCGGAGGCATGACCTAATAAAGGATATGGTAGCCGCTTCAATGGTAGCCGCTTCAATGGTATACTCGAATCATCGTAGGCGTTACTTGCCATTGCCCATCGACCTGCTGTTGAAATCTGCAACGTGATATTGATGCGAAACTATGCGAACATAGTATAACCATATCGGGCTTATGGTGCTATGGCCCCGGACTATTCCAAGATCCATTACATTACCTTCATTTTCTATCACGAAATCCCGGCTGTCGTTGTCGTTCACTTTTACTTCTCGTAGCCTACCCCCAAGGCTGTCGAGGTACTAATTACCCTGGATATTTAATATAAAAAAGCGTGAATGGTACCAATGACCCTAGCAGGGAGACACTGGTTGAATCCTTCCCGTTGACTGCGCCGTAACTATGCAGGCATATATCTCAGATCTACGATGCCAAGATGTCGAACCTCGTCAAATCAAGGCATTATCTCAGATGATAGTTACTGTAGTTGGCTGCTAATAGAAAGTTGGTTGGGTAAAAATGTAGACGACGAAATAATTTACACATTTCTGGATCGGGACTCCATAAGGTATGCAACTTACGAAATCGTTGGCTGGGGAATGACGACAGCATGTGGCATTCAGTTCAAATGGAGTAGGGAAAATACAAGAATACATAATATAGTACGAGAAAGATAATTTAACGTTGCTACTTATGCTGATCAAGTCGATCCAATGTTAACTCTGGTACCAAGACCCGGCAAGTCACGTGCAATATGTTGATTTTGTATGTGGAATACGAGAACTGGAACCCGGTGGCTGTGCCAATTGCTAGGCATGATGCAAAACATGGAATGTATCATCTGTGTCGATTGATGTTTCGTCATTGTTCCCATGCCCCCCTAATTAAGAACGAGAATAGTATGACACAGGTCCTCAACACTCACGTACAGCGCCGGGAGTCTTAAGAAATTAAGAAAAAAAAGATATCCTGGGTTGATGTCATTGTTCTCAATGAAAGAATGAAAAAAAGCAAGGCAATATTGAATACTTATTCCAAGATCGGCGTCTTTGTTGTTAAGCGCTTCTCCGTAGTTAAGGGCGCTAAAGTTTGCACTAGTCAGTAAGGAGTAAGGTAAGATAGTACCTAAATACTGGGCACTGTGAGTTTAGTCCAGATTGAGTAAGGATGGCACCACTAAGTACGCGTAATTTGAGCCCCTTTGAGCACCTGGACAGGCCGACTGTACCGGAGTACCGCCCTTCATTCATCTGTCGCACTTACCTGGAGCAATTGAGTTGTTCTCTTTTCCCCCTAACACCTTCTAATCTACCTAGTACACAAGTCGCTCACTTACATTTTGTCCTTTTCCTTTTTCTTTCAAGATTCATCCCCCCGATTCTCGTCACGACCGGCTGAAGAAGAGAAAAGCCCATTCTGCGAACGGGTGTTCTCACGGTCCTCGACCACCCCTACCTCTTGTAATTCGATCTCCTAACCTCGCGCTCGTTACATTTAAAGAAAAGGTTCGGGAAAAGTAGCAGAAGGATACACCTAATTGACCATTGACTCGATCTCAATAAACGAAGAAGATGTGGTTCTCGACGTTGCGGTCGGTTTTACTCGTATCATGGCTCTCAGCTATGATACCGGGAGGCGTGGCCGAACCGATGCTCGTTTCCAACTCGTTAAACACCTGTCAGCTCGATTCTCAATTTACGGCCTCCTTATTCCGAGTAGTTTACACCCCGAATAACAACACGGCTTTTCTCAACATCGTAGCGACGTCCTCGGTCGAAGGTAGCGTGGTATTCGACATTGCCATCTCTGCGTACGGTTACAACATCATCCAGACCATCATCGACCCTTGCAAGATTGGTCTCGCCGGTCTCTGCCCCATGACCGCCGGTAAAATTCCGTTGAAGTTCAACTTACCTGTCAGCGATGAGGCTGCCTCTCAGATTCCCGGCATCGCTTATACGTTCCCCGACCTAGACGCTACGGTCCGCGTGTTCCTGAACATGACTGATACTGGAAAGAGTGTCGCTTGTGTCGAAGCAGACATCTCCAACGGAAAGACCGTTGATCTAGTGGCTGTGAAATGGGTTCTCGCTATTATCGCTGGTCTCATTCTCTGCTCGTCGGCCATCATCAACGGTCTGGGTCATTCCAATGCTGCCGCCCATATCGCTTCTGGCGCTCTTTCGTTGTTCGGCTTCTTCCAAGCTCAAGCAATTCTCGGCCTAACCGCTATTCATTTACCCCCTGTTGTCCAGTCGTGGACCCAGGACTTCCAATGGTCGATGGGTATCATCAATGTCGATTTCATGCAGGATATTTTCACCTGGTACCAGCGAGCTACCGGTGGCACGCCCTCTACTATTTTCGACTCCCTGACTACGGTATCGGTACAGGTGGAGAAACGTGCCCTTGCCGCTCTTCCGGACGCTGCCGTGAACATATACCGACGTTCAGCCGCACTCATTCCGCGAGCTGCTGGGACTCTGTTCAAGCGTGCCAACATCATGACGGGTTCTGGCAGTTACATCGTGTTCGGAATCCAGCGTGTTGCTTTCAGGGCCGGCATCGAAACGACTAACCTTTTTATGACTGGTTTGACGTTCTTCTGCCTCTTCGTGCTCTTCACTATTGGCGCTGTCGCGGCGTTCAAGGGTCTATGCGAATTAGCCGTCAAGCAAAAGTGGATGAAGGGCGATACATTCCTCGAGTTCCGTAACGGATGGCTCACGGTCCTGAAGGGCATCCTGTTCCGTCTTACTCTAATTGGCTACCCGCAGATGGCTATTCTATGTCTCTGGGAGTTCACCCAAGTCGACTCCCCCGCCGAAGTGGTCCTCGCGGTGTTCTTCATTGTCGGAATGACCGCCACGTTAGGTTGGGCTGCTTCCAAGGTCATCAGGATTGCTCGCCGCTCCGTCGCCATGCACCGAAACCCTGCCTATATCCTCTTCTCAGATCCCCAGGCACTGAACAAGTGGGGTTTCTTGTACATCCAATTTCGGGCTTCTGCGTACTACTTCATCATTCCGGTCCTTGGTTATACTCTGGTCAAGGCCATGTTTATCTCATTTGCCCAAGGCAGCGGCACTGCTCAGGCGGTTGGATTCCTCATCATTGAAGCCGGTGCTCTGATCACGGCGAGTGTACTC